CGGGAGCGAGAGGGGCCCCCAGGAGGGGGCTCGGCGCCGCCGCGGGGACTCTGCCTGCCCCGTTCCTTTGGCCCCCGAGCCCAGGCGCAGCAGGGCCGGCGGGCCGGGGAGCTGAGCCGGGCGTTCGTCCCCGTGCCCGGCTGGAGCGCAGCAGGGGGGAGCCCGGCCCCAGGCTGCGCGAGGCCCCGGCAGCTCGCTTCCTGGCCCGCGTCCATCCCAGGGCCGAGGACCCGCACCTGTCCCTGGTGCTAGACCGGGCTGGCCCCGGGCCCACATGGAGAGGAACCGAGCCCCAGCCCCCTGCACCTGCGCCCAGCGTAGCCCCCGCCGTGCCAGCGCGCTTGCACTTTCACTCTCCTTGGCCACAGAAACCTCAGAGCACCGCCAGGCCCTTTCGCTCTGACTCCTCGCCCTGCATCCGCCACTCCCCTCGGGCCCAGCCGGGACAGGGCTCCTCGCTGCCACCCCTCCACCCCAGCGTCCACCCCTGGCTGGGGGGCTGCAAAGGAGGGAGGAGGGAGGTCGAGCGAGCTGGGGCCTGCCGGGAGCAGGTGCCGGGTGGAGATTCCCTGGCGCGGCCGTGCTAGCAGCCAGGCACCGGCCAGCGCAGCCCCCGCGTCCAGCCCTAGTGTAGACAGCGCGCCTGCTTGCACGCAGGAGCGGCCCTGCGCCATCCCATGCCCCCCGGCCTTCATGTCACACACATGCCCGGTGCCGTCTCTGTGTCTCCCGGACTCCCACATAGGCACACACGTGTGCTGCCTTTGATGGCTCGCAGACGCCCTGTGCCGTGCTGTCACGCCCACGCCCTCAGCTTTCATGTCACCGGCAGGCTGGGTGTGTCGGGAGGCGCTGGCGTTCGGTCTTGCACACGTGGTGCCAGGGCTGCCTCTTTGCAACACGCATGTGCCAGGCGCTGTTGCTGTCTTGTGCGTGCGGGAGGGGAAGCAGAGCCCCGGAGGGTCCTCCTGCCCGGCACCCCGGTGCCTTGCCGGGCTCAGGCAGAGCTCGCAAGGCCGTGCTGCTTTGGGAGTCAGCGCGGGCAGTTTAAAAACATCAGCTCGGGGCTAAGCAGAAAGGCTAACACCACGTTAGAGGAGCAGAGCGCATGGGGAGCGTCCAGGGGAAGACCCGACGCTGGTTTGGGTTCGGCGGGGTTTGGCAGCAGCTGGATGCCCCGAGGCGCTGGGCCACGGCCTGGCCTGGCGCTGATGGGACCGGTCCAAGCCACCCTTGCAAGGAGTCAAATGTTAAACCCGAGCCCCCCCAGAGACGGGGCCGGTTGGGAGGGCAGCAGGGGCCGGGAGACCCCCGGGGAGGTGCACGGGGCGCTGGGCCACCCCGTGGTGGCAGGAGGGGCAGCCACACGACAGAGCCCTCCGTGGCCATGCGGCGTGTCCGGGGGGAGCTCGCCGGAGCAGGAAGCCGTGCCTGTGCGGGGCGGTTTGGACCCCGGCTTGCTTCGAGAGCCTGATGAGAGGAGGGCTGGGAAGGAAGGGGGAGGCCTGGCTTGGCCCTGGGAGACCCGGTCCTGCGACAAAGTGGGCAGGCCGGGCACTGTGTGCTGCAGCTGTGTGAGATAGGACCTGCTGGGCCGGTCTTGGGGATGGAGAGGGGCACCCTGGGACCCTGCGCCCCAGCCAGGGTGTCCCAGGCACGGCCTGGGGCCTGCCGCTGCCTGGCACGCAGAGGTCTGGCAGCTGCTAAACGGCCTCCCCGTGCAGCAGCTGCAAGGGATGGAGGCTGGGGAGGCCTGGGCATCCCTGCCTGGCTCACCCGGGCCAGTCACTCAAGGGTTAAGCTGCAGTCCTGCAGTGCCTGCGCATGCTCAGGCTGCGCGCTTGGCCTGGGGCGGCGCTGGCCCCACCGCTCTGCCCTCCCCGAGCTGGCGGTTAATCATTGATGGGAGCGTCTGGGGGGCTGGCCTGGGCGGAAAGTGTTCACGAGGCCTTTGGCGTGACCGGGAAACCATGCTCCATCCGTGGGGACCGCTGGCCGCTCTCTGGGCCCTGCCGGCTTCTCCCCCATCAGGCCCCGTGAGCTCCCGGGGCCGGGGCCGGGGCGTCGTGGAGGGGTCGTGTTGTCACCCTGCGGAGCCCGGGCATGCGCCCCGGGGGCGTCCAGCGCCTGCCCCAGTGCTGGGTTGGGAGGAGATGTCCCGGGAGGGCCGGCTCCGGCCCTGCTGAGATGCACAGAGAGCGGGGCGTGTGGGGGGGTGTGTATGGCATCCTTTCCCCCCGGGCTGCGGTGGTCCCAGAGGGGTCCAGGAGGAGCAGGACAGGTGCGGGGCTGGGCTCTGAGCTGGAGCAGGATGAGAGCAGGGTGGCTGAGCTGGGCTGGGCTGGGCTGGGGGTGGGTTTTGGGGTCTGCTCCGAGGGGCTGGTGCTGCGCAGCCCCCGGCCCCGCGCTCACCCCCTCTCCGTGCCCCCAGGTGGAAAGCAGCGAAGCATCCAAAGACACTGCCTCAGTCCCAAAGTGCCACCCGCCCTGCCAGGAGGCTGGCTCTACCGAGCAGGTGCCCAACGGAGACGCCGAGACGGACGGAGACAGCGGCACGACCCCCAAGGGCAGGCAGCAGCCGGCCGAGGACGAGACGGACAGCCTGGCGGACGGCGAGCCGGGCCGCGCCCTGGAGAACGGCCACCGCCGCCCCCAC